TGTTCACCCATGTCCCCCTCGTCGTCCCGCTTCCATGTATGTAAGTCTGTATGAATAATGACTCGTAGTTGAAACTATGTTCTTCCCCTGTAGAGTAACGTCTACTTGTGAAAATAATGAAGGTAATATCAAATTGACGGGCCCCACATCATCGGTAAGGGCTATGGTGGTTCCGTCCGCTTTAGTTATTTTCACCTTTGCATAGATCAGACTGTTTCGTAAATCTAGTAATTCCAATCCGTTTTGTCCGGAAACGACGAATTCTACTACAGAATCGCTGGTGATTTGAGATAACGGTAACACGTCTTGATAGTAAATGTTTTCGATAGCTGTCTGTGTCGCTAATTCTGACGGCTGTGCTTGTCTGAAGAACTCTTTGTTTAACGCAGTGATTGTGATATCAGACTCTTCTTTTTCCTTTTATTCCTTTTCACAGACTTCCTTTTGACTTTACTTTTCACTTTACTCGTCTTACGTTTTGTTGTATTTGTTTTTCGTTTCTTTAGATGTGCTCGTGGAGTGTTTACACGTCGACGTTTCCATGCAGACTGACGGCGATTTGGAGTTCGTTTCCTTTTCATCTGAGATTTAGCTTGTTGTAGTATTTGTTGAGCTGGAGAGACCATGCTTACGTTTACCTCTCGCGAAGGTAAGGCCTTTTCTCCCACTTTGTCGTTTTTGTCTATGGGAATCATGAATTTGTTCGAATTTTGTGACATTCCTCCACCGAATTGCTTCACGTTTCGTTTCGTATTGCCTACAGGTAAACTGGACGAGTGGTACCAGTGTTCATCTATAAGTAGAATGAATAGATACGTTGCTAATATTCTTTCCTATAGTGTTACTTTATTGTTTGTCTACCGTAAGATCACCATTACATCCAAGAATTTTCGGATGCTCTTTCAATATGTGTTTCACTAGTCGTTTCTCACCTCTGTCAGAGTAGTTTTCACAATAACATACACAGATGAGACAAATGTATCTACGACGTCTCTCGTATTATTCAACGATTACGGAAAGCTGATCACCATCAACGTCAATTTCCACATACTGATCATCGCTCATACTGTATTTTACGTCTACTATCTATTAGTCAGATGAATAAATATGCTTGAACTTCACCGATTTTCTCTACGTATTTCTTTATCTTTTCGCTATATCTTTGTTTCGTCTCGCATCAAACGTTGTAATTTGTCTGAAGGTATAAAAGATTGAATGACAAACTCACACCAAGTCTTTTCCACATCCAAATGATTTGCAACGGTCAATGCTTCGTCAAAATGTAAGTCTATAACAACAGCACCGGAGTACATCAGACATTCATGTTCCTGTTGACCAGCTCGACGATTCCCACAGCCTAAACATACGAATAGTTCTGTTATTTTAGGTTTTATATAAATGTATGCATATGAGAGACACAGCAGATTTTTCAGTAGTCTCCGATAGGCATTTTCTTCAGTTTTTAGGATCAAATAGTTCTGCAGCCTTTTATCTAGCAAGTCTATGTTTAATTCCATTATAACACATGTATGTATTGGTATAATAACGTAACTCTAAATATTTAATAATGAACATCATCTGTTGAAACAGACAGTCTTTTGACCACCTCACATGCTCCGTTTTGATGTCGTCAAAATAGTTCCTTTTTTCAGGGTGATACCACACATGAAACACGAAACGCGATCTTCGATACCGGTATAGAAAAATCCGTTACTGGCGAGTCTATATGGAGATTGATGGTGATGTTCTGGCCAATTAGCAAATATGTTCACACGGTTACAACATTTGCTCAATGATGGATGATGTGGACGTATGGAGCCGTATCATAAGACGTTCTGCCGCAAACGCTATCTGTGACGTTATCCATTAAAAAGTTAACGTTCTGTAAATACACAGATACACCACAAATTTTCCGATAGAGGAAAAGTTTCTTTAAAAATTCTCCCGATATTCTCGTTTTCTTTCCTTCATCAACAAGACAAATTCTAAGCTCACCTTTAAATTTTCTGATAATGACTTCCTGTGTAAGACAGAGGCGGCAGACGACTCTGTTAGGTGAAATGTCTGTTAAACTGATGTCTTCTTTCTTGATCTGATCTATTTGTGCTTGTGCCATTGAATGTGTCGAAAATTCTTCTCATTAGCTATATATATATACTCCTAACCGATAGGGTCTGACAGAGACTGTTTCATACCTGTAGACTGATAGGGACTGTTTCATACCTGTAGACTGAAAGAGGGACTAACAGGGACTGTTTCTTACCTGTAGACTGATAGGGGACTGACAGGGACTGTTTCATACCTGTAGACTGATAGAGGGACTGACAGGGACTGACAGGGACTGTTTCAAACCTGTAAAAATACATCTACTATCAAGGTAGGATTTTATATGCGATGTCATGCGATGGCAGAGGTATTTGGTGCATGTCATATATCGCACAGAAAAGATAACGCTAACCCGTGCCCCAAATCACAAACTGCAAAGTTCACCTTTAACAGGACGACCCGAGGCTGTGGTCCCATTGAATTCAGACTAGCTAGCAAGTGGTAAGTTTAAATGATACTTTACTACATAATTTTGTTTAATAGATAAAACAAATTGTGTATAATGCTTACTGACAGTGTTGTCTTTGTAAACACCAATATGTACACGCGTGTGATAGACGTCGTGATGTCTCGTGTGAATTACGTGAACGTACGAAAGTCATATCGACTGGAAAATTTTACACACTTCTGTTTTTTTAAGTGCACTGGTCTTTCTGGTTTTAAGTATATAACATATGGTATTTCCGCACGTTTTGTATAATCGAAAGAAAGACGTAAGAGTAGATAAAAATCAACGTTGAAATAACTTTTGACTTGACGGCGGGATAGTCTGGAGTGTCCAAAATCTAGAACCTAACTGATTTACAATACATCATATCACAGTTAAATACATGTATTACAATAAAGGTACCTGAGCTTTGAGTGACAGGTGTCACTAATTGTAAGATTAATTACCTGTGGTCAGTGTCCACAGGTAAAGGCTATTACACTTAATCCTGTTGCGTAATATGATGGACAATAGTAATAAGTTGTGAAAGTAAGTTTACAAAGTGTACGTACTTAGGGATAAAAAAAACTTCACACATGAGTCTGATTTTAAATGTCACAATGGATATAGATATTGACATAGATAATTACAATTAACGACAATGTAACATGAGTATAGTCAAATTCCATCTTAGTGTCCTATAAACATGTTTTGTATTAAGTCACACTTAGATATGCTAGATATGAACAATTCGAAATATAAACCTTATAATTGATGGTAAGATTCAAGTTTTTCATGAATACGCAATTATTTACACAGTTAAATAGTAGTCGCCGCTCACGATACATGCATTGGGTAACAGCAAGTGTACTCTTTTCTCGATTCCCTACCTGCAGGGGTGTACATTGGTTCATGCATTGACATAACTACGGTAATGCTCAATATCACTTTGCTTTGATAACACTGTAGTTCAAACAAAACATGTTAACTCACGATTATAACACCCCGGTATTTTTCCACGTATGTACACAACAACGGAATCATTCCATAATCGTACAGGTCACATACACATTGCTTAGTGTTTTATCATGTAATGGCTTCACTGATTTCATGTGTATTACTGCGTCGATATTTACATTGCGGCCTTAATTAGATAGTGATTTCTGTATATTTATTTTATAACCAACTTACGGTACATGTTACCTACATGCAGTAGCTACGAATTAATACGTATATGTTTTCTTTCTTCTAAATTCACCTACATACCCCGGCCTTCATATGGCCATGGCTGTTGCGAGGGCATTAAAACCCCGAACAAACAAACACATGCCCTGCCACCAGAACGCATACATTACACATACAGAAGCAAGTCCTTAAATGAACAATGTAAACCAAAGAAATTAGTTTTGTACATTGCATAGACAGTCCTGCGTGTTCAGACAAAGAATATGTCTGCTGTATCCGCTGCATGTCGTAAGAGCCGACAGATGTTGGCCCCTGTTGAATCGCGGGTTTTCTTTTGTGTTTCTACCTAGATGACGTTCAACAAACCAAAATGTATCGGCCGTATGACCCCATCGCAACATTTGGGATAATTTCTTTCCTCTCCTCTCTACCCTCCCTAGGCATCCTCTTCGTATGACCTTCGCTTTAATGGGGACAAATCAATAGCAATAGTCAATCCACATCCCAGCTTTAGGGTTTAGCCCTTCATCAGGGATCGAATGGTCCTCATCCTATGCCACATTCATATTTGAATACAGGAAATTCTCACACAAAAATGAAGTTTTCATAATTTATGACACCCTTACTACTTCCTACTGTTGAACCAAGGTAGAGTTTATCTATCCAAAATTCCTCCAGCAACAGTCTCGTCTCTTTTGTATCCTCTTGTACTTATTCCAATACACAAATCTTCATGTCAGTCAAATAATGTTCACTTGCCAGGAAGTGATGCACCACTGGTTTATCCCTTCTAAGTCGGACGTCAGCAAGGTGTTCTATTACTCTTTCTTTCAACGCCTGTTCTGTCTCTCCCACAAAGAAATACCATTTACCGTATTCCGTATATTGCAAGGACGGGTCACTTCAGCATGGTTTGAAGTGCGGTATCATTATAAAGTCGGCATCAGATCCGGGCTCTCGAAAGGAGGCAAAAACACCCACCAAACGCTGACTCCGACATACATTACACAGAGGAGTCACATCCTTCAATAACTTTAACTGCTTATAGAACGTGGAACAAAGTAAAACCTAAAATCTCAATCTTGTTCGATGTGCATTGCCTGTTTGCAATCAAGTTTTTTTAATGTTTAATTGGTGATCGTTTGATTGTTTTATATGAAAATCGTTAATACATTTCATGTCCTTTCCAGCAACATGAGTGCCTTGAGTTACCTACACCACCCACCAACAGTGCCTCGTCAGTACGTTACCATCAATGATCTCATAAAGAAAAACGCAGCTTTAGTACCAAATACCGAGGCCTTTGTCTACCGGCCGGTCCATGGCCCACGACAGAGCATCACCTACGCGGACCTGTACGATAGAGCAAGAGGAGTGGCACAGTTTCTGCTAGCCTCGGGGGTACAGCGACAGGACAGGGTCGGATTGTTTGGTCCTAACACGTTGTCCAGAGTTGTGGCGGAATTCGGTATCCTTTTGTCTGGGGCTGTTGTCCTTCAACTCAACATTGAATTCAAAAATGCCAGTGATGCAGTCGACATTTTAGACAAGAGTGATTGTCACGTGCTATTTACGGATCCAGGTATCAACGATAGTTTACTTCCCATTGTTGAATCACTGGAAACCGCTGATGAAAATGTTCAACAGCGTCGGAAGTACATATTTTTGCGGGAAAGCAATTCCTCCAAACTTGTCTTTACAGTCATCGATGACATCCCAAAACAAGCTGATGTTCGCACTGTCTTACCGGAGGTGTACCCAGAAGACGACGCTTTGGTGTTCACTACTTCCGGTAGTACAGGGAAGCCAAAAATGGCAGTGCATGGTCACTTTTCTTTGACATCTGCATTGGGTGCAAGGAAAGTAAATACTTGCCAAAGAAGTATTTTATATAACGATCGTCCCTTCTGCTGGATCGGTGGAACGGTGATGATGGCAAGTTTGCTCGGAAATACACATATCTTCACTGACTCAACACTTGGAACAACAGGTAGGGGAATCAAGAAGATCTGGACTATTTTAAAGGAAGAGAGTGTCACGTATGCATTCATATTGCCATACTGTATTCGCGATTTGATTACCGAGAAGGACAGTATTCCTGATGATGGATACAGGTTGGAAAGAATAACAACAAGCGGCCAGATCATTGATAACTTCTTCACTCAGGTGGTCGGCAGATTCTGTAAAAAACTCATTATCGGATACGGCTCGTCTGAAGCTGGTGGTATGGCGTTTTCGGAATTAAACGAGGGTGATGTTCTTGAGACGGGAAGAGTAGGTCCTCCGGTCCCAGGAGTAGAAGTTAGAATTGTGGATGAAGATGGATGCCCCGTCACAACTGGACAGCAGGGAAATATTCAGGTTAGGAGTACCTTCCTTATGAAGCGGTATCACGCAGATACAACTATGACGGATGCCGTATTTACTTCTGACAGACCACCCTGGTTAAAAACAGGAGATGTCGGATTACTGACGTCATCGGGAGATATCATCGTACGGGGAAGAATGACGGAAAATATTTCCCGTGGGGGCCGGAAGATACTTCCAAATGCTGTGGATGATGTTCTTAAGAAAGTGGTTGGTATAAATCAAGTGGCTACTGTGGCTGTACCAGATACCCGGATGTATGAAGAAGCGTGTGTCTGCTATGTGGCATCTGACCTGACTCCTAAACACGTGCAAAGTTACTGTGAAAATCACTACGTCGACAAAGACTCGTTAGATGGCATGGGATATATGCCTAAATATTTCCTCAGGTTTGATGAATTCCCGTTTTTACACACAGGCAAGACCGACAAAGTCAAACTGAAAAATGAAGCTGCACGACGTCTGAAGCTCGTTGAACAGTAGAGGTCGTCTTTGGAAACTACATACAATAGATAATCGGAAGATTAGATAAATTTGAACGACTGTACAATGGAAACTCTTTACTCGTGTAAACAGGTGCTGATGTAGCAGGAACCGACAGATTCGGCAAAAACATACACCTGCTGTATCTCATTGCATGTTGTAAAAGGCGATTATTGTGGGGGCCCGGGAAGAGGATGAGGGGGTGGGGGGTCCTTCTGTGTCTTCTTCAAAGGAGACAATGATGAAGTCGAAATTCAAGAATTATCTGGTAGCCCCGTTGCAAACTTTTGGAAGCTTTATATTGCTTAGGATTTTTGGGTTTCTCGTAAAATCTTATACTTTTGGCCTTAGTGTTGAACGATCGCCCAAGTGGGGTAGGCTGTGTGATCTGTCCCCAACCCGGGACTTACAATATATATATAATGATTTATCCAGTTTTTCCAGTAAACATACATTTCAGTATACCATATTTGATAGGATACTTGTATACTGTGTATTGTGTAAAAAAAAAATATTGTGCCCTTTCATTATGATTTCACTGTATCGGAAACTTACGATGTTGGTGTATTTCAGTGTAAAATGCTGTCTCCTATGATATAATGTCATTTTGTCGTACTGCACGATTAATGAGTTATCACGTATGCCACTGTACAATATGCATCTTATTGCATTGGACTATTATCGTAAACATGTATCATTGTAAATTTGTAATATACTGTACAATTTGTATGTCTACTCCGATGTGTCTTACACAAGGAATCAAACAATCTGAATCTGACATACCAATGTTCTTAAAAATGGGAGTTGTTATTTCCTGCTTAACGTTAACTGACAACTGGTGAACCAGTTGTTGCCAAAATCCTAAATGCTTAACGTTAAGCAGTGAATAACAACTACCTTTTTAAGAATGTTTGGTATGTCCCGACATTAACACGGCAGCAAATATTTTCGCGTAGAAGAGTTCCAACTCAGATTTGTTTTTGGCCGTCTCCCTTTTATTTAAAGCAACACAAAATGAACTCAATGGCACGAAGACATTTTCCTTGCTATTGTATTATAAAGTTCTTTAGTAACAACACCGGTAAAATGAGTTGATCGGGTGCATCTCTTGAGTGCCAATGTTTTTAATTTCCCTGTGCGGCAGTATTTTTAGGGAATATATTACCTGTTGGTATTCTGATATAGTTATAACCGATACGTTTTTTGTACTTTTTTGTCAGTTAGTTGTTTTGCGATATTAATTATGATATTGATTTAGCTGACATCGTAATTGTTCATAAATTGTATTCCATACAATACTATATATACTATGCAGCAATATGGGTTATTCGTATTTCCCCACTTCACTTAGTTAGTATCCAAAGTATTCAATTACAAAGAAAGAAGTCATCAGTTTGTAACTTCTAATTTTTGAAATTCATAAATTTAAGGGTTTTACGCACCTGCCCATCTGTTTCAACAGGTGGTTACACAATTTGGATTTCAAACTTTTGGGCTCCTAGCATCACCGATGAGTCCCAGAGGGACAAAACATCTGGCGTACTGTACAGTTGGGAGCAAACTTAACTTCCTTTTATAAGCAGTCATTTCTACCTTATGTTATAGACCAATGGAATAGTCTTCCACAAAATGTGCAATCAATTCCGTCTACATCTGCTTTAAAATCTGATCTTAGTTTAAACAATAGTTTCTTTCATCACTTGCACACTACATTACAATACAGTACAGTACTCTAGTATAGTTGCAGCAATTTACATGGACATTTAAACACATCATTGATGAGACGGACAAAACATCATTTAAATAATGAAAAAATAGTAGTTATACATTATTTGATTCGTAGTAAAAGACATTGACAACGAGTTGTTACTTAGTAAAGAATAAAAAGAAAATTGATTGATAAAGATTCCTAGGGAATCACATAGAAATAGTTACCTCGGTGGTGTAAAGGAAAACTAATTTAGATATGCAATAGCCATTAAAATTTGCTGCTGTTGACGATAAAGTTCTGCACGGAAATGAATATTTCTGCATTTTCCCTATCATTTAGTGGGGAATCACGCCATAAAAGAACATCTACATTGTCGTGAATATTGTATTTTAAGATTATATCAGATAAGTACTGCTGTCTGTTACGAGAATAACTAACACAAGTAAATAAAAAATGAAAGTTGTCCTCTATCAGAAAGCCACAAACACAACAAGCTGAGTCAGAAAGGTTTTTGTTGAATAAATGTTGGTTTAATGAGCTACATTTAAGTCGGAGTCTAGCATGAAGTATTTGACCTTTGCGATTACCAGTATCAAAATAGTTTGGTGCATGTCTGATACTGTTATTATCAAGATGTGTTTTTAGTACCTTAACTGATGAAAATTCTCTAATATTTAGCGGTAGTTCATTCCAGAGGCGAATTGAAGAAGGTAAAAAAGAATCATTACATAAGTGTGTTCGTGTTTGTATAGTCTGATGTAGGTCGGATCTTCTTGTATTATATGTATGATTGTCGGAAATTCATGAAGGGACTAGAGAAGATAGATAGTTCGGCGATATTTTGTTGACCATTTTATGATACTGTATTAATTTGTGTTTTTTACGACGATCTGCTAGTTTTTCCCATTTGGTGTCTCTATATAGAAGTTCTATATTAGATAATTTGGTACTCCCTGTAACGATTCTGGCTGCCTCTAGTTGCACACTTTCTAATTTCTCACTTAGATAATTTGGTATATTGTCCCAGACTATGTCAGCGTATTCCAGAATTGGTCTAACAAATGATAAATACATTATTTGTAAAGAATTTCTATCAAGTTTGAATTTCAATTTTTTTAATACATTTAGACGTTTTGAAGCAGATTCTATCATATGATTTATATGAACATGCCATGAAAGATTTGACGAAAACAAAACACCAAGATGTTTGTGACTAGACACTTCAGAAATAACACTAGTATTTAAGTAAAGATCACCATGGTCAGGTTTCAAAACTTTACGACTAATAAGTAAACTTTCGGTTTTGTTTGGATTAAAAGTTACCAGCCATTTATCAGCCCATTCTTGAATAGTATTAAAATTATTATTTAACATATTTCTAGCCACCTTGGGATCGCCCACTATTATGTAAAGAGATTATCGTCTGGCAAAAAGTTTAACTTTACATCTAAGATTAACAATAATATCGTTTATGTAAACAACAAATAATATTTGCCCAAGTATTGATCCCTGCGGAACACCTGCCGTAATATTTTTGAGATCTGAAAACTTCCCGAAAACTTGCTTTCTGTTGTCCAGATAACTTTCAAACCATTTGATAATTTTATCCGATAAACCCGCTAATTTCAGCTTGTATATCAACCCTTCATGCCAAACTCTGTCGAACGCTTTATCTTGACAAGCAACATTCTAAGAAAACGCCTATCTAACGTTGGTACCCGCAAGGGCCAAATAGATCACGCACGACTACGAATGGAGTGTAGCTCCTTAAATGGTCATTATCTCCATTATGCATGTGCGATGAAGTCGAAGACAATAAACATTTATTATTGGAATGTAACAGGTACGATCAAATAAGAAGACCCTACCTACAATGTTTGCCCCATAATATTACTTTATAACTGAATAATATGACGTGAACTTGTACGATATATATCTCACCCCAACCACCTTACTCTAAGGAAGTTTAAACTATTGGTATTTCCATTAATTATTGGTATATATATATATGCGTGTGTTGTGTGTATGAATGGTGTTATGACGTACTGAATATATTAGTTGCTGTTTAATATACTTGGTGATAGGTTACATAGGTGTCTGTGACACTTGTTCCTACGTCCCTTTGTCTTCTCTGTTCATTGTAATAACATGCTTGAACTGAAATAATAAAAGAAAGTTTGAACTAAACTTAAATTGGTAGTCTAGTGCACTAGAGTTAACAAGAAAAGTGAACTCCAGTTCAGTAGCTTGGGCACTCGAATGAACACTGAAGTGAACTGGAGTTCACATCGATGTGCACTGGAGTTAACTACAGTTCACAAGGTAATTTTCTGTATCATATTATGTCTGACCTTTTCATCAGTTTTCTCCCCTCCCGTCTGCTTGACAAATCAATAAATCTTTGAATATTATATATTACCTATCTTTCCCAAAAATGTTACAGGTACAGTTACATGTACATGTGGGTGTATTACGTTCATCTACCATGTGGAATGGTAATACAATATCATATTGGTGTAGGTAAGACCTTTAATTCAGGAGCTAATCATTGTTTTCATCTTTTTGTGATCACATGTTCCCATCACGTTAATGAAATACCAATGAACACTTCCATAGTATATTTTGAACTATTTTATGTACCTGTTCTTTATTAGTGCTAGAATATTTCAGTGGTTTCCATCATACTTCATTAGATTATAAATAATTTAGTTCATTCTTTTCATTATTCTGGACCTTTGCAGTTTATTATTATTATATTTATATATTTTATTCAGTGCTAGCATACAATTGCAATAAAAACATACACACACTGATTAAGATAATGTACAGACACATCCCATGTCTTTTACTGCTGATTCAAATTTGATAGTTCCTTCTTGTTATCTATTTTCATGAGCTGAACGATTTAAACTCATAGAATTTGTTTGTTTGTTTTCTGTTTTACGTCCTATTAACAGATATGGTCATTTAAGGACGTTCTAGGTTTTGGGGGTGGAGGAAAGCCGGAGAAAAACCACCGACCTACGCGTACGGCCAGTACCTGGCGACTGCCCCACATAGGTATCGAACCCGTGACCCAGTGGTAGAGAGCTAGTGGTAGCAGAATGTCAGAAATGTATACAAACTAGGTTTTTGAAGTATAAATTTCAAATTTTGACTTTAAATTTAAAGTCAAGTACAATCGCTAGTAGAACTCTTAAACACAAACATAACTGCTGTTAAAGCTAATATAGTAAATTTCAGTAGATTTACCTCCCTTGACCTGTGTGCAATACACTGGCTCATACGTTCCTGACCACAGGGACCTGATAATTTGTCACGTGTTATTTTTACCGAAAGTCAATTTAAACCCCTAAAACATGTAAAATTACTCTGAATACTTCAAATTACTTTCAAGTTTTGGCCCAGCAGAGAGAATTTGTGTTTAATGTCATCAGATAAAAATAGACATTATCGAGTGCATATTGATGACGTTGTGTTAAAAGTGTGTTATGTAAAAATTAACCCGGGTGTTATGTTAGGGCATAGCGAAGCTATTATGAAACACCCAGCCACTTAGCCTTTTTAACGTTCCGATATTAAATGCTTCGGTATACCGGCAGGGCAGTACAGTTTAAATGTTGACGATGTGTTTCAGGGTGATAAACCAGAACGCTTGGTCTTCGGATTGATTTCTTCCATTGCTTATAGCGGTTCCTATCAGAAAGATCCGTACAATTTTCAGCATTTTAACTGTAACTTCGCAGGATTTTATTTTGACGGAAAATCTACTCCAACTAATCCTTTGGAACCTAATTATAGCAGCGGTAATTATATTTCTGCTTATATGAGTCTTATTACAAGCAAATCACATCCAACTCAAATTATGGATATATCGCTTTCCGATTACCCTGACGGTTATTGTCTTTATGTATTTAATGTGAATACAGTTTTTGATGAGGATTCAAATTTACCTTTCCTAAAACGGGGACACACTCGACTTCAACTCAGATTTGAAAGACCACTGGAGGAGGCAGTAATGCCCATTTCCCATATTTGATGAGAGTTGACGAATCAAGAAACGTGGAAATAAAATAGAAATGGATACTATTCAACTCTACACTGCTTTAAGGATGTACTCTTCTGAGGTTTCAATCACGTTCAAGTCTCGTTTTGATCTGGGTTAACGGATTTTTGTAATATTTAACAAACTATGATCAAGTTTATTAGCAATCACGCATCTGAAAAATATGTCAAAAAACTAGATGCCTGTTGTTTGTAGAACTTTTTTTAGAAGAACTTAAAACAATTACCAAATCGGCAGCCATTTTGAAAAAGTGAATTAATGTGTATTTCTTGCGCTTCAAAAAAGGCTAAAATTTCACCTTTTTGACACTAGATTGATCACTAAATTTGTCGTTGCGTCGCCATTTTTAATTGTAGCAAGTTCAATGTTGCTGCACAGCTTTATAATGTTTAATATGATAAAAATGATATGCAACAAACTGGAAAAGTATACATTATTGATATTTTTGTTACATAATTAGTGTAACTGAAGCACTTTTGATTTTTGACCCCGAAAAAATTACACAAATGATAATGGGACAAAAAAAGAAGCACACTGACCCCCCCATTTTTGTGGATGTTTTAGAAAGAGAAACACATTTTCTTTTAATTCATTAAATATTAAAAAAAGTTTAATAGCAGAACTTTTTATATCAAGAGTTTAATCTGCAAAAAAAGTGAGTATTTTTCCATTAATAAATAGGGGGTATGGGTAACTAAAATCGGCTTTCTGAGTTAAAGGAATAAGATTAAGAAATGTTACTTTCATAATTTCAAAGAAAATCATATTTTCAACAATTCTACAAACATTCATACATATCTGATAACACACTTGGAAGAAATTGTATGAATTTGTTCTACAAATGGTAAAAACCCAATAAATCACCTTAAATCACATGTTGTGTTAAATTGGTTTCTTTGACCGACCATAGCACAAAAACGAGCAAACGGACATATAGTTTTTTTGCATTTTCTACTATGCCATTAACTCCTTTTTCAATAAATCCATATAAGAAAAAAAGTTTAATACAGGAATTTTTTGACTTCTCAGGGGTGTACATCCTTAATAGAAGACGTCATAATACGACAGTACTTAGGGGGTGTAATGCCTGCTGTTTTATTCTCAAAACATCGTATAGGTAAACCCGGGTTGTATATTGTAAATAGCGACGAATCTCACTCCCATGGTACACATTGGCTGCTTTTTTATTTTACCTATGATAATGCTTATTTCTTTGATTCTTTAGGGAAATATCCAGAAGAATATCACCAATACTTTCAGTCAATACTGCTTAAAAATAGTTACGTTTATGATACAGTAATGAGCGTATACAAGCCTTATGCTCCAATACTTGGGGGTTTTGCTGTTTATTTTTTGCTTATTGGATTTGTAGAAATAGTACATAAACTGATGTATATGATTATTTCAAAGGGGCTCCCTCTAATGAATCGATCATAAAAAGATTTGTATATAATCATTTTAGAACTTTACAATAGATATTGCGACTTATGATCACTTATATAGTTGTGACATCATTCTTCGTGTTATTCTTTGGAAACTATTCAAAGTGAACAGTTGTATGATGGCTCCCGAACGAAGATGTCGCAGACAACCAAAGTTATTCATTCAGCGCTAAAGATGACGTAGATAACCGAAGTTATTCATTCGGCGCTAAAGATGACGTAGATAACCGAAGCTATTCACTCAGCGAGCGGATGGATGTTCGTTTTAAAATCTTGAAGTTTGTTGGTGTTGTCGTGATTCTTGTTATTAGCACGTTAATATTTTACACAATAATTACTAGTATGCACATTGCCAAATTCATCTTCCTTATATTTGTAATTCCTCGATTTAAGAATGGCTGTCATTGTAAAACCATGGAAGTGCCGAGATGTCCCTTCTGTAGGGAACTTAATGCGAGTTCGGGCGAATCCTCCGTACTGGGAGCAAAGGGATGTGTGGGGATAAATGAGGCAAGCAAGAAACAAGGCAACCAAATCACAGTATGCCCTAGACAGCAAGTTCACAAAGAATGTAGAGTGTATATTGATCCTTGTCAAATAAAAAGCAAAGTGTAGACAAAAACGCGGCAACACCTACAATTGCTACTGCAAGTCCTTATTTGCGCTCTAGGCAGCTGTTTATATTTCAAGAACATTGCTTTTTTTGTTGTCAGCCAGCGAAGGTGTCTGACCGGAAGAGGGGTTTTGATGTGTTTCCGGCGAGGACAAGTGACTTTCAGACTCAAATAATTGTATGCTGCAAAGAACGTGGTGATGAATGGGCGTCCCAAATTCGTGGCCGGCTAGAGACAGTAAGCGACCTGCATGCTGCCGATACGGTTTAACATCAAACATGCAACACTAACTTAAAAACACATTAACAAATACCATTAGCATTCTTGTCGGCTCACAGTGCAATAGAACATGAGCCACGGACACCAAAAGGGAGACCAAAAACTCAAAGCAACAACTTCTTAAAAGTTTTTAGGTTTCTGGGAGAAAATAAGGAACAACAGATTACCGTGTTGGCTCTCGCAGCAAAATTGAAAGAGGTACGCGGGGAGGACGCCCTCTCCTCGCGACACCTAAAGGGGCGATTGGAGCAGCACTATGGCGACGAAATTATTTTCAAAGCTTCCATCAACGACCAAAACAAATGAACGAGGAATCAGAGAAGCGAGAGATTATCAAAATGGCGGCAAATCTAATCAGGAATGATGTGATGTCAATGGATGGAAAACAAAATGTGTATCCCTCACCAACTGATAAAAGAATCACCTGGCAGTTTGTTCACTTTTCTACAGAAAATTACACAGATAAAAGACGCAGACCTATAAGTAGCCGCGATAGGTCAGGCTATCCTCAAAGCAACCAGACCTCGATTGCTGCTAGCACAATTACAGTTGGGATTGGGCGTACAGCTTCATCAACAGACTGGATCGAAGTGCTTCATCGATACCATTCACACGCTCGGGTTATGTGTGTCCTATTCAGAGGTTCAGCCCTTCGAGAGCATTGCAGCCCTGCAACAAAGAACCGATATTGACGGATTTCAACGTGGAAACTTTGTACAGTATATAGCCGATAATGTGGACACAATTCGTGTACGCCTGACGGCAAAGGTACCTTTCAGGGCATGGGGATCATTGCTTGCACAACACCTGGATTACGGACACGCACGCCAATTGAAAGGTTGAATATTCAACAAAATGAGGAGGCAGGTGAACAGGTACTCGCGTTTCTGTATGGTGGTACTTGCAATGAAGGGCTTGATCTTCGATTTTGGCAGTTTTCAAGGTAGACAGCGATGTCGAGAGTGTTCGCCCAGATACAGAATCTGCCACCAACATCCGACGCAGCACGCCTTCATGTACAGCGAGTATATCTGCAATGCCAGGATTGGATAAAGGACGATGGCTATTTGGAGCCGCAGGAATGGGGTTGGTACTGCAGTGAAAACACATTGCTTCCGATAAGGTCAACGTTACCACCAGCACCAGACACCCTTCTTAAGGGTATCCGATGCC